ACCCCTAATAATCACACGACTTCCTACTGGCAAGCATTTGGCGACAGTGGGAAGGAAAAACTCCCTTTTAACAGGAAGACACCTCTGGTTGGCTCAGGGAGGGGCAGCTTTCTGCTACGCCCGTTTAGGAGTGAGGGGCAGGGGGAGCGATAAAACCACACTGTGGAAGAGAGCCAGAGATTGATAATAAGTCATGATTAAATGCAGAGTGGAAACACAAAGAAAGTGAAAAAGAAACAAGGCATCATGGGAAGACCCCAGCAGTCTAGGCCTATTGCAGTGTAACAAAGTAGTATCAGAAAGGAAGAAGCTGTGTATTTAGTTACTTTTTTATTCATTTATTTTCTTATATATATTAATGCAAGAATAATTAGATTTCTGAAACAGAATAATTTAGTTTTATTAGACACTGGAAACGTGTTTCTTAAAAGAAAAGCTTTCTTAAAAACACCATCTAGAAACTCTAAATCAGGCTTAATACGTTTATATAATCACCTACAGACGTGCCATTAACCCAGGAATTAAACTTAAGCCTTTTAACATCTTAATACAATCTGTCGCTCTTAATAAAGTTTTTTTCTGGATGTTTTAAAGCTTTTATTAGAAAAAAAAGGAAACTTCTGGTCTTCATAATAAATAAAAGCTCTGACATCTTTTTTGTACCCACTCAGGAGTTTAAAAGCTCTTCTCTCTTCTGCTGAGTGCCTTAAAAACTCTATGAGATAATCTAAGCAAGATAAGTTGTTGTGGAAATGTCACGAATAAAGTGAATTCCAAGGAAGCAGCTGCCTTTCACAGTCATATTACAGCTGTCGTATTTCTAATGGACTCGTCTCTCCAAAGGAAACGACTCCTTGCAGCAGAGAAATAAAAACCATCCATTATTAGCACTTCTTAACCCTCCTTCTATTACTGATAACAAAAGCAACGTGTTAAAAAATGTGAGCTCATTTTAAGACGAAGCATATGTCATCACATACGTGTGTCTCTGTCTGTATTTACATGCTGTACAAAGACAATTAATAAACAGATATCATGTGAAACAATCAGAGCGTTTCTGGCTTGACAACAAATTACACCATCACTCCAAAGTGAGCTGCTGAATCAGAAATGTGGCTCTCCTGTGCCTTTAAAAAAGCTCTGACAGCTCTAACAGGGTTGTTGTTATGAACCGTGTATGAAAAAATAAGCGTGTGGCGTTCAGAGCCGTTTGCTTTAGTTTGGATGTTTATTGCTGCCAGTCTGGATGTTTCAGAGCAGCGTCGAAGCAGCAGCGAGCAGAGCTGCGATGACTCCCGTGCTCGCTCTGTGGACAGCAGATGCTGCTGCCGCTGTCTGACTCGCAGTCAGCCACTTTGAAAAAATGCTGACTCGTGCGTACACCCCGGGCTTGTGAGGAAGTCCACACTCATCTCCGAAGCTCGTCACGCCAACCAGATAAAACCTATCCTGATTCTCGCTGTAGCACTGCAGCGGGCCCCCGCTGTCACCCTGAAGCAGACACAAACAGCGTGAAGTTTTCTTTCAACCAGCCCGTAGTGACTTAATAAACAAAACCCAAGGATCAGCACCTGACAAGAATCGGCTGCTCCGCTCTCCAGTCCTGCGCAGATCATCTTCTCAGTGATGATGCCGTTGTACCAGGTGACCCGGTTACATGTTCGTCTGTCGATGAGCTCCACCTCAGCTTCCTGCAGTTTGTTCGTCTGCGGGCCTGCAGTTCACACACCAAAGATGCTTTGAAAAAACTTTATTAATATATGTGACGTAATGTGAGGGTGACATTTAAAAGCAGAGGAAAAAAATCATGCTTTCAGTATCTACGTGATATATTCAAAAACAGGTCACTAGCAGCCCATTGTGACTCAGTTGTAGATTAGACTGTGATAGCCACACTTGTGCGACCTGCCCTAGAAATGACAGTTTTCCACATCTGTTGCACTGAGTGACCGCCCAACTCGAAGCTGATGTGCCACCTTATTTGTGAGGCGCTGCAACCTGGTCAACAAATGCCTTGCGCAGCATGAACACCTGATTTGACAATTTGGCACTTCTCAGGTTTCAGTGATCTCCATATGGCGTTTCACTGATTCTTTCTTTCTATTCTGTGTGATCTTTTCTGTTTCCAGGAGTTGTTGTAGAGATATAAGAGCCTGACCTGATACCCAACTTTTCCTAGTTTCCTTGAGTGCTTTCTATGGCTCATCCATTGAAATGGACATACACAGCCGAGCTCTAACTGGGACTTGAAGTTGTGTTAAAGAGGTTCTAAAGCCGTTCCTTTCATCACTCAGCGGTGTCTTTCATATCTCCTGTCAGATGTAACATCATGTGGATAACACAGTTTGCCTTCAGTGCAGCAAACAAGCCTTGGGAGTCGTTCTTATCTGACAGAATCTGCGATTCTTCTCCTTCTTTTTGTAGCATCGGGAACTCCAAGTGTTTCTTTCTTCTTTCTTTCTGCGTTTTGGTCTTTACTGTGAGGAAGGCTGGTTCTGACTTTCTAGAAGTTTCTGGATTTCTACACAATCCTCTGAAAACCAGCGGGCTGTATTTTGAGTAGCAGCCTTCAAGATCTCAAGATGTTCTGGAGAATCTTCAAGAGCCAGATCAACTGCCCTGGCAAATCTTTTTGGTATTCGACACATGCCAGCTTCACAACATCAAGTTTTCTAGTTTTCATCTTATGAGGTAGGCATCAGGGCTAAGACAAGCTCAGCAACGTGCATTATCTCTGTTGATAAGAACTTATGAAAGGCCACATAATAGTCAAGTAGATGTTAAGTTCAGCAGTAACTTGCCAGTGGAGTTCATTTCACCTTTACTAAAATTTCTCATTGTTCTCTTTGTAAACTTTTCCTGCTCTCACATCAAACTTCCAGAGGACGAGAAGTTTGTCTGCTGCACTGATGACTTCTAAAACCGGACATACAGATAATACAGCTGCAAATACTTCAGAACCCCTTCACTTTTTGCATGCTT